CAAAAGGCTAAGGGGAACAAAGCTATAGAAATGAAACTATATCAATAACATAAATGTGTATGATTTCACAGAAGCCTAGAAATCAACTCTCTAGAATAAAATGCCATTTTGAAAAATCATTCCTCTGGCCATGTTTTACAAATAACAGATGAGCTCAAACCAAACTGAAATGCAAGCCCTTGCAAAGTTCCTCGCCTCTCAGATGCTGACTTTGGCTTCCATAACATCAGCAGCTATTCACAGTAATTTCCATATATTCATCAGTCAGTCACACCAAGACTCGCTCACTATCACATCGGCATTGCATGCAAAAAACACAAAACATACACAAACTCCTATATACTCAGGAACAAATAATATTTATTAATAGAAATCCAGAATATTACTCACCACATGAAGAATTTTATTCTCTGTTTCATATACTGTGCAATCCTGAAAAAGCAGAGCAGAAAAGGGAGGTTAAACTAATCAGTCAATCATCTTTCCTAGATTTATATTTAAAACATGTTTAAGCTGAAACAAAAGATCTCTCTGCCTTAACTTGAACATATGCAACCATGGCATGAGGTGACCACAGAGAGGAAGTATTGATCTATTTGCCACTTGTTGCTGTTGCTTCCTTCCTCGAGGTAGATGATCGCCTTCCTCGTTATACCCTTTGGGAATATACCAGCTGGTCATATGTATGCTGGGCAAGTAGCTTCAACTAAGAGTCCCTGCCCATGGAGAAAAGAAGTCTGCTTCTCGAGAGAGTACTAAAAACCAGGGCAGCAGCCTGAAATACACTCTGCTGGGGAGATTTCTGCTGAAAAATGTCTAAGAATCCACAAAGCAAGAAAATTTAAAGCCACTGCACATAATGTCCCCTTCCCCCTTATGAGTTTGTCTTTACTTTGATTAACTTGCTCCTTCTAAATCATCCTCCATTTAAAGTTATGCAAGAGGAAACCAGGAAAGTAAGTCGAACAGTTGCTGGTGAGCTGAGCTGACGTGTTCCCACAACCCACCAAAGGAGGGAAACAAAACCTTGGGAAGAAGAAGAAGGAAGGCAAAACACCACCCCACGCAGTGGGTGAGAAGGCAAATATGGAATAAAGAAATGCAGAGGAAACTTGAGCCTAACCATCATATTGCGTACACCTCGTTGGGGACCGTGTGCACATCATCGTGACTTTATTTAGAATATAGGGCAGTTTCTATAAAAAACACTAACAGATGAGAAGCTGGGGGATGTGAAAGTTTTTATGAAGGGCCAAAATCTTTGTGGGTATTGTGGGAAGACAGTGACTAGGAAGACAGAAAGTATGTGAAATATAGGTAACTGGTTAAAGAGCCACTCACTTCACTGGATGCTGTGACTGCATGGTGTGTAATTCATGCAAGTTCAGCCAAATGGAGGTTTTATAGTCTACTTTTATAGCCTACTCACCTGAAAAATGTGAATAATTTTCAGATTTTAAATCCTTTCATTTTGTAATCACTTTTTGCTGTTAGATAAACAGCCTTGGTATATATAAATGTTTTTTAAAAAATGGGATTCTAATCCATGAAATGCTTCTAGTGTTACTCAGGCTAAGAAAAGCCAAAGTGTCTTTAGGCTTTGTATAAATCAAACCTATGCAGAAGCAGACGGTTTATCAGGGAGTATTTTCCTAATAACAGCTGCTTTATGCATTCAGGAAACATTTGCCAATGGAGAAAGTACAGCCAGAAAAAAAATCTAACATGTTTAATTACATGTAGACATCAATGAAGTATTTTCAATCTTAGGAGCAAAACACACATTTCATTGTTATATGTGGGAGGGCATATAACATTTTCAGGCTGGGTACATCTATGTTCTGCATGGATTCTTACGAATCATTGGCAAAAACAACAGGAAGGGATTACACCATTTATACTGAAAAAAATCCCCACTTCTGAGCAGGCATAGTAAAATGTCCATGTTGCCAATGAAATAACTACAAGTTCAATACTCAGCTTAAAAGGATGCCACTAGATATTTCTCACAGCTAAGGGAGGAAGGATTCTGGGTTTTTAAATGCTATAAAGGTTTATTACAAACAAGAAATGAGAGAATAAGAACTGCTCCATTCCTGAAATGAAACAGTTCCATATCATCATGAAGCAAGCTAAAGAAATATGGTTGTTCCTGACAAACCAGTAGTAGGAAAAACATTTCTGGATCTACAAAAGACAGTAAAGCAAGTGGAAAACTTCACAGGCAATCAATCTAACCAAAAGCTAAGCACCATGGCCCTACCCTTAAATTCCTCCCTGAACATGCACATGTCCAGCGGCTCAGGAGACAAATCACTAAATGACCCCATCATATACAGCACTGCTGATTGCTGGGCTTAGTGTTACATCTTCCTATTCAGGCAAGTGGAAAAATAACAGTTGGAGTTCAGTAAACCATAAAAGCCAGAGAAATTGGAGGAGAGCAAGCCTAATGTGCTAGGTAAGAAACAATCCCAAAATACTCTCTTTCCATACATAAATGCCTAAATATTATACCACAACTAACTAACTCTTATTCAGTCCCTAGCTCAGTGAGATGTGCAGAAGTGCAAAGCTCTGTGCCAGAATAGCCTAGGGCAGCCCCGGAGTGCAGGATTCAAAGAAACCTCAGAAAGGTCACCAAGTTCATCCCCGCACCGCCGCAAGCCCGTTCTGACTTCCTGCAGCCACCCCCAGAATGAATGATCCCAAGGGAAAAAAATGCCTTCATTCCTAGCAAACTTTATTTCTCCCCCTCTCTTCTGATTTTCTGCTTGTTTGTGCTTTGACTTTAAGCAAGTGCTGAGAAGCTGAGCTCACCCTCCTTGAACATCCCTTAGGTAGAAGGATAAACTGAATACTTATTACCGGGAGCCCTTACCATTTACAATTATTGCCTTTTCATACTCATTTCATCTCAACTAAAAGAGTTGAAACCACTTGAGAACAATGAAAAGAGTCGCTAAGTACAAATTTAGAGACTAAATCTGTGTTTGCAGTAGCACACCGCCCACAGCCATCCAAAAGCTCTGTCTTCCCTGCTGAGACTAGGAGTCCAGACCTCACTGCTGAAAGGTCTGCTTCCATCCTTGTTCAACCACAGCACCAAAACCTTGCACCCGGGTAAGAAGCAAACCATGCACAACCTGTTAACATCAGCTTTCCCCTGCAGGCACGCACAAACCTGTCACCTGCAGCCTGGCTTTGCTCCCATGCAAGGTCACAGTTTGCTGGTATCTTCGTGAAATGACGCTGCAATCACCCCGACATGGGATATGTGGATGCAAAAACGGGGAGCTCTTCTGGTTTTACCTCTTTATTCTCTGAACTACACACACATGTTCTCTAACAAGCTACTAGTAAGGCTGGGCTGTTTGATCTTCATCTAATCAAGCAAACAAACTACCAGCATGAGCAGCACGAGGCTGTTTCCTAAATTCATACTGTTTTCTGAGATCAGTGGTGAAGGTTGCTTACAAAGCAACAAAATGTGCTTCTCTTTCCCATGTGAGCTACAAACACTGTGCCCGTTTATAATTCCTAAAGATTTTGTTCAATAATTGGTCCACAGCAATTTCAAAGGAAAGGCGGACAGCGTCATCAGCATAGAAAGAAAATCAAAATGGGAATATAATGGCACAATTTAAATGACTAACATCACATTTTCATGGACATTCTTTCCAGCAGTGCCTCACGCATCAAAAATGGCAAAAGTGACCTTTGTGGTAACAACTGGAAGCCTATGAGGGAAACACAAGCCCAAAACTGGAAAGGAAAAACTACCACAACGGAGGAAGTCGGAAAGAACAAGACACCCACAGAGAGGGGTGATGCACTGTCACTGCTAGTATAACTACATATGCCTCACTTCAGTTACCTAGTTAGTATTTCTTCCACAGCCACAATTCTGCATTATTCATACAAATATTACAAGTTTTATCTGCAGAGAATCTAACACAGTGCCATAAGTAATAATTATCAAAGCCATGTAAAATTGGATATGTTCAATTAGAGAGCAGCACTGGCCGCTGCTGTGCCCCATCAGGTGTACACCTCCCAGTCTTCCTTCCCTCAGACACAGCGAGCACATATACAAAACACAAATACTTGTGGATTTGGTTTTCCCAAAGGAATGCTTATGATTTTTTACTTTTCCAGTTTATTTTCCATTGCAGTCACTGGTATTGCCTTCATCCTAAACTCCTACACTACATGTCACAAAGAGGGGAAGCAGGTTAATTAATGACACTCTTTGGTCCTTCTATTTGCACCAGAGTTGATTAAATATCAACTCAAAATGTGACATACTGAGATCTAGAAGGACTGCCAACTCATCCTAGTGGTCATATGTGCCTTAAGAAAAGAAATAAACTTGCAGTTCCTTAACTATAAATACAGGATAATATTCAATGAAAAACATTACTATTTCTGCATATATCGTGGTTTACACATTTGAATTGGCAACCTGTCAAATTACCTATTGCAGCTACTTGTCAAAGACTTCTCTTTTCAGGGTACATACAGGCTATAGCGCTTGTTATTATTACTACCACTATTACTGTTTGGGGGTTTGCCTCATTTTCCAGGCAGCCGCCGCACTGTGCTCTTTCTGGCAGTGTTAAGTTCCTATCACCTCTGTGACTTAAATTGAGAGAAAATAAGATACATACAAATAGGTAAGTGATACCAGAAGGGAGAATTGCAGAATTATGCATAGCAGTTGCTTAAGAACACAGAAGATAAACCAACATTTCAGCATCCCTAGTAATCCTTAGATGAGAGCGCTCACGAAGGGGCTAGAAATTATTTCCCTGCATTTTCTTTGCCAGCAGAATGCTTTATTTGTTCATGTATTTAGTCATGCAAATCTATTTTTTCCTCCAAGGCAACGCAATCAAGGCAGAACTGATTCCTAAGCAGGTTACATGGTTGCCAAGAACAAAATCCAGATCTCCTGATTCTCAGGTACCACGTTAGCCAAAAGATTTCCTTCGTGAATCCACACATTAGCATTGCTCGACAGCAGGCTGCCTCCCACTGCCGTGCTGGAGTCAACCGGAGCAATTCGCACGGATAGGAGCTTGTCACGAGAGCTCTCGTTCTCTGGGGGGTTTTGAGCTGTCTGTGTTGGAGCCTCCTCACTGTTTTTCTTGTTTTCTTTTTCTTTGCAGTCCAACTGAATATACATGAAGGCTATTTAAATGCATATGTTTGCATATGCAGCTCTGTTTTTACCTTCCTTTAGCTGATAGAATGTACAGGTTGGGAACACAATTTTTAAAATGGTGGTGAAATTGCTTGGAAAATGCATCTTTCATGAGCAATTCCACACATCCTGTATGTCTAGTCATAAGAGGACAACAACTAGATTTTATGTAGTGCTTTAAAACAGATGTCTCATAGAACTGCTGTTACCATTCCTCTAAAGTCAC